ACTCGCCTTGTGCAATGGGAGACCATAAATTGTTGCTACAGTTAAAAAGCTGTAACAAGGATGTGAAAAGGTCAATTCAATGACAACGCAGCTGTTGTCCACTTCATTTAGAATTACGGCTTTTTAGACTGAAAAGTAAAACCCCAGCTATTGATGAATTTCGCTAACATGTAAAATCTTCACCTGCTTTAACAAATTCAGAACATTTTCACCCAGTAACCTGAACAAGATGAGTTTCTATAGACAATCCTGCTTTAAAGAGATATTTTAATACAAAAAAAAATCTCCCAAAGCTTCCATTTACCACCTCTCTATGCCTTCCACTTTGGAAATGAGATCAAGCGCTGGACATCTGTTTCTGTACAAGTTAAATCTCAGATTCCCCTGCTCACCCGCTCTGCACTCAAGTGATCAAAAAATAAATTCAGTGAACAAAGGCATTAGGCCTAAAACATTTCATTCATGGATCAGTAGAATTTAAAGAAACAAGACTGAATTGTGAATAAATCATCCTTGCAAAGTTAACTTTACCCATGGAAAGGGTGCAGAAGATTGCAAGGGATCTGTGGGTGAGGAGCCGCTGGGAGCCTGGCATGGAGGCATTTGACAAGTAGTCTGATTGACAGATAAGATAGGGATGGAGACGGTATTAATTGGGAATAGATGAAAAGAAGGGAGTGTGGATAATAATAATCCTTGCATTTGAGATCACGTCTTTGAGACGTCTTAAGGCGCTTCACAGAATATACTGTAATGTGGGTGAAACGGGGCAGCCAATTGCACACAGCGGTGTTCCACAAACAGTTATGGATTGAGTGACCACATTTTCTTTTAAAAAGGAACTATAACCCCTGGAAAAGCGATCCGCCAATCAACTAACAACCAGGGTCCTACTTACTAGTAGGTAAACAGGCATGTAGAGTAAGCAAAGTTGCGCAACATTTCGCTCTGTTCAAGAATCGTGGTCAGGAATTGAACCCAGATCCTCTTGCATGTGAGTTGCACACAACAGTATCTCACAGGCCTGCGCCCACTTCAGACATGCAGAAAAGGGGAATGTGGACAATTAGTTTCACGTTAACTGGCGGCGTATTGCAGTCTAGTGGCTGTTCAACAGATTCAAATGTGAAGTACATAAATATGAACCCCTTTGAACAATAAAAAAAAGTATAAAATTAATACCAGTGAGTTCATGACGGGTCATGTGCCCAAATGCTCAAATCATCTTCAGTTGGTTTCCCTGCACTTTGGCCCTTTCACCAGCACCAATGAGAGAAAGTGTGTCAGGACCTCCCATTTCCAGCAAACCTCAACACCCTCATACAATCACAAGCAAGAGGAAGCACTCAATCTGACACATCCTAAGATATTTGAAGGTTGTCAGACATAATGAAAAGTCACTTCATGAGCTGCTGCTCCACGTTTCTCAAGTCCGAGTTCTCTCGCACTTGTGTCCTCAAGCTTCAACGGGTCAGACAGTCAGTTTGCAAACTGAAACATTCTGACTGAGACAGACACTTTATAAAACAACAATTTGTATTTATCTAAGATGAGATCCGCTCAGCTTTCTTCACATTGTTTTTACCGATCGGAGTCCCAGAGGCTTGAACATCTCAGAAACCAACGAGTTGTTGGGATTGTCATCACTGGGATACAGTCTGCCTAAAGTTAGCCACCTCCTTTTCTCATCAAAGTCCCAGAACCAGGTGACATCTCCATAGATGACACTAAGTGATTTCCTCTGAGGAACAACAGCAGGCAGGTTTGGAGTTTCACGATTTACAAAGATTTGTGGTTTTAGTTGATCAGAAGTGACCTACCTGGTCAGGGGGTGACAAACCTGAGTTGTTACAAATTGTATAAACCATCCAGACCTTGAGATTTCCAGGTTTGTGCTGAGTCTGTAGATTATAGGCAGAGCACAACGATTGGCTTCAGCAACCCTGGATTTGGATAATTTCTCTTGTTCCGAGGTCCACTTCAGAATATGAGCCAACAATTCTTGTTGGAGAATGTTTTGTTCTTGGATCCAATTTCCTCACCACATTTTGGAATTGGTTCAGAATAAGCACCGTCAGCTTCGCATGTGAGAGTCAATTGTAGCCGTGCCTCCTTCATCCCAACTCACCTGGCTGCACAGCCAGCTGCTCAGTAATGGAAGGTGGGTGGAACTGGCCGTACAGCCAGGTGGGTTTAGGAATCTTCTTTTCAAAACAAAAATCCCAACTAACATCAAATTTAGAGTTTTGTGGGGTGTTAAAATGCTCCTAATCTCCCCCCCCCCCCCCCCCCACCCACCCATTAAAAAAGCTGAATAAATTTCAATACAAGGTTCTCAAGTTGTGAATAAACAACAAGATTCCATTTGTATAGCGCCTTTCACATCGGGAGGACATCCCAAGGCGCTGGACAGTGTACAGCATTTCAATGGTGGGGTGGGTGAGTCGGGGGACATGAAGCAGGCCGGAGGCAGCTGAGCGGAGAGCGCGGGCGGATTGGTAGGGGGTTAGGAGGTCGCAGAGGTGGGGTGGGGAGGCCATGGAGGGCTTTGTAGGTGAGAACCAGGATCTTGAACTGGATCCTCTGAAGGATAGGGAGCCAATGGAGTCGGACAAGAAAGGGGGAGATGGGGTCACGGAGTTTGGTGAGAGGACACGGGCTGCAGAGTTCTGGATTATCTGCAGCCTGTGGAGGGAGGAGTTGGGAAGGCTGACAAGCAGGGGATTTGTATAGTCGAGCCTGGAGGTGATGAAGGCATGAACAAGAGATTCAGAGGCCTGAGGGGTGAGGTAGTGGCGGAGTCGGGCAATGTTACAGAGGTGAGGGAAGGCAGAGCGGGTCATGGCTTGGATGTGGGGGAGAAAAGACAGTTGAGGGTCGAACAAGACACCGGGGTCGCTGACTGGTTTGGTGAGTTGTAGTGTGCAACCATGGGGGTTGATGCTGCCAGAGCCTGAGGTGCTGAGGCGCTGGCGCGAGCCAATCAGGAGGGCCTCAGTCTTGTTCACATTCAACTGTAGGAAATTTGCCCTCATCCAGGACTTGATGTCTGTCAGGCAGTCTGTCAGGACAGCAGTGGTCCTGGAGTTGAGGGTGGGGGCAGAAAGTTAAGAGTTGGTGTCATCCACATACATATGGAAGTTGACCCATGTCTGCAGTTGATGTCACCAAGGGGGAGCATGTAGATATTAAAGAGGAGAGGGCCAAGGACAGAGCCCTGGGGGACGCTAGATGTGACAGTGTGGGGGCTAGAGGGGAAACTTAGAGGCAACAAAGTGGCGATGGTGAGAGAGATAGGATTTGATCCAGGCAAGGGCAGACCCGTGAAGATTTAAGTAAAGAGGAGAGGCGGTGTATGAGGTTGGAGCGGTCGACAGTGTCGAAGGTGGCAGAGAGGTCGAGGAGGACAAGGAGGCGGAGGGAGCCCTGATCACAGATATTCAGAATGTCATTAGTGACTTTGACCAGGGCTGTTTCTGTGCTATGGGCAGCACAGAAGCCGGATTGGAGGGGTTCAAAGAGAGAAAGAAAGGAGCGGAGCTGGGACGCGACGACTCATTCCAGGACCTTGGAGAGGAATGGGAGGTTAGAGGCAGTCGCTGGAGAGGAGGGATAGGTCCAGGGAAGGTTTTAAAATAAATTGAAAAATCATCGGCCTGCTAACCCTACTCCAATGGATACAACAACTTACAGAACATCTTTCATGTCTGTAGAACATCAAGAACACTTACTAACTGAAGAATTCAATATTGCTGCCACTATCAGCTTTTATAAATACAGTCGAATGTTGCTTTTATCACCAGCCATTTAAATTTTCTCTTAGACATGTAATTTCCTCACACTTCCTCAACACGGAACAGCCATCAGTGCAGCCACTTTTCAGTCACCAAACATGCATGAGATCTCCATGCTCAAACTATTTCAGCATTTGCTACCTGACTGTTCAAAAGTCTCAGCATTAACCACAGAAAAACTCAGTCCCAACACCTCAAACTACTAATGACCCTCCAATAAGAACTATTCCACAATCTGAACCGTTCCCTTGACTCCAAATAATCCTCCACCAAAGAGTTGAAATTGAACTACACTGTTAGCCTTTCTCACACATGACCTGCCTATTCAACCCATTGACCTGCACCTAGGCACTTCTGGCCCCTGTGACTTTATTTATGTCTCCTCCACCGTCTGTTAGCACCGAGTTAATCATGCAACTAGGACATTTTTCACACAAGAAAGAGTGTTCCACACATTAACTCCTTACACCATATCATAACCACATTGAGCTGACATTGATGTACAGGGGGACTTTACTTTGCTCCTCTCGAACTGCTCCCAGTTATTGGGGATTTCCTTGATGAGAGGAGAAGTCCAGCTTCTCGTGAGCACACCAATGCCAGGATAGAGGCCAGCACGCTCACGGACCACGGATCATCATAGTAGATAGCACATTCCACTCTGGGTCCTGAGGTGGTGGGTTCAAACCCTGTATAGGGACTTTGATTCTAGGTTCACATTCCGTTGCGGTGCTGGGAGATTCAAGGTGCCGTGCTTCTGATGAGACCTTAAACCAAGGTCCCGTCTGTCTGTTCGGGTGGATGATGAAGATCTCATTGCACTAGTTAAAAAAAGAAGGGAGGTTTTCTTGGTGTCCTGACCAACATCCTGCAGATAAATTGGGCTTTTGAATTCATGGTTGCTTGTCTGATGTTATTGTGGGAAAATTGGTTACGTTCCAACTGATGAGTATATAGTGAGTATACAGTCATTACACTTGACAGCAACAGCAACAATTTGGATTCATATAATCTCACACACTGACATTTAACAGGCGGAAACTGTGAGAACCTATATTTACTGTTCTGTGGTCAGAGCCAATGTCAGTCACTCAGTGACCAAAGGGGAGGTCAAAGGAGGAGGTACCAGCTAAATGGCTGGCTATATTTCTGAATATCTTGTTCAGTATTTCATGCATACCAAGTGTCACAGAACCATGGACATTTATGGCACAGAAGAAGCCCATTTGGCTCATTGTGTTTGCCGGCTCCCTCAAGTCAGACCTATTTACCTTCCTTATACCCCTGTTGTTGATTCTTTTAAGGTATTTGTCTACTTCTCTCTTCCCACAGCATAGGAACAGCCTTGGTCAAAGTAACAAATTACATTTTGTTCACCTGTGACCAGAACTCCCTCTGTCTCCTTGTCCTCTTTGACCTCTCTTCCACCTTCGACATTGTCAACAATTCTACCCTCCTCCGCTGGCCTCTCCTCTCAGCTGAATCTTCATAGTCCTGCCCTTGCCTGGTTCAAATCTTACCTTTCCCACCGTCTCCACAAACGGTTTCTCCTCCAGCCCCTGCACCATCTCATGCAGCATTACTCAGGCTCCCGGACCCATTTCCAACCCCCAGACCAGCTTCTAGCCCCCGGACCGGCTTCCAGCCCCCGGACCCTCTTGCAGCCCCCGGACCCGCTTCTAGGCCTAGCATCCGCTTCCATCCTTCGGTCACGCTTGCAGCCCCCGGATGCGCTTCGAGCTTCGGAACCGCTTCTATCCCACGGACCCGCTTCCAGCCCCAGGACCCGATTGCAGCCTCCGGACATGCTTCAAGCCCCTGGCCCAGCTTCCAGGCCCCGGACACACTTCCAGCCCATGCACCCGCTTGCAGCCCCCTGACCGGCTTCCTGCACCCGGACCCGCTTCCAGGCCCCGGACACACTTCCAGCCCATGGACCCGCTTGCAGCCCCCTGACCGGCTTCCTGCACCCGGACCCGCTTCCAGCACCCGGACCGGCTTCCAGCCCCCTGACCCGCTTCCAGCTCCTGGACAATCTTCCAGGCCCCTAACCCGCTTCCAGCCCTCTGACCCGCTTCCAGCCCCCTGATCCGCTTCCAGCCCCCTGACCCTCTTCTCTTCAGTACCTCATGCTCCCTTTTTTTTGATATCATCTGCAGAAATGGGGTCACCTTCCACATGTATGCAGATGACACCCAAATCTACTTCTCCAGCTGTGACTCAAGGTCCTCTGATGTCCTGTCAGTTTGATGGCAGACACGGGCCTGGATGAGTGCAAACTTCCTGTAGCTGAATGTTGACAAGATGGAAGCCATGCTCCTTGGTTCCCATCAACATCTTCTCTCCTATGGCTCTGACCTCTTCAACCTCCCCGGCCTATCTCTCAGACTTACCGAACCGATGCAGAACTAGGCGTCAGGTTCGACCCACAACTCTCCATCCTCCCCCACATCCAGTCCCTGACCAGGACCACTTTCCTCAACCTATGTCACATTGCCCAACTCTGACCATACTTTACCCCAAACGCAGCCGAAACCCTGGTTCATGTGTTTGTCAACTCGCATCTCGGCTACTCCAATGCCCTCCTCAGCAGTCTCCCCAGCTCCACTATCCACAAAATCCAGTTAATCCAGAACTTTTCCACCCACATACTTAATCACACTAAACTCTGTACCCCCATCATACGAGTTCTAGCCAGGCTCCACTGGCTCCCTATCAACAAACTGATTGATTTCAAAAACCTCACACTCATCTTCAAATCCCTTCAAGCCCTCCCCAGTCCACTACTCGTCGCCTCTGCTCGACTGGCTTTGGCCTCTTCCATGTCCCTTGTGACCTCCATTCCCACCATCGGCAGCTGCGCTTTCAACCACCACACCCTGAAATTTTGGAACATTCTCTCTAAATCCCTCCGCCTTTTCCTCTCCGTCCCCATCTTCAGATCTTCCTCTTCAACCGTGCTTAAGGTTACCTCCACCCTCCCTCCAGCTCAGCATCATGCTCCGCCACTACGAAGCTCTCTGATAGGATACCCTGCATGAGGGGTGCTATATAAATACAAGTTGTTGTTGTTTACTAACTCTTAAGTTAAACTCTTAAATTGGAGGCCGATTCAATAACAACATTTAAGAGTGAAGTAGATAATTATTTGGGGAGGACAAGTTTGCAGGGCTATGGGGAGAGAGCATGGGAGTGGGATTGATTTGGATAGCTCTTTTCAAAGAACTGGCACCAACAACGAATGGCCTCCTTCTGTGCTGTATAATTCTATGATTTCTGTGAAATTGATGTCCTCTAGTTACTGACTCACTGACCACTGAAAATAATTTCTCCTATTGGCACTGTCAAAAAAAAATCCTCATAATTTTCTCTGTCAGGTGACTCATCAACCAGCAGAAAAAAATCTCAGTTCCTCCAGTCTGTGGTCGTAGCCCAAACCACTCATCCCCAGAATCATCCCAGAAACCAAACTTGCGTTACTGATTTACAATACATTTTACAATTATATAGCACCTTTCACATTAACAACAACAACAAATTACATTTGTAGAGCGCTTTTCATATCAGGAGGAAGTCCCAAGGCACTGGTATCATTAGGAAGTCTCAAAGCACATAATGCTGGATGGGCACTTGAGCTGGGGATTGGAGGTGAGGGAAGGGGAAAGATGATAATAATATTAATAATAATCCTTGCATTTGATTTAGAGCTTTTCACTTCTTCAAGACGTCTCAAAGCGCTTCACAGAATATCCTGTAAAGTGAATTGACTGCATATTTTGTGGGCGTGTATATAAGATCGATAATATGGTTAGAGAGATAAAGGGATGGAGTTCCAGAGAGCAGGAAAAAGCCAAATATGTTGATATTTGTTTGTCGCTCTTTTAGAATCGCCTCGCAAGCGAGACACCTGGGTTTGATTCCCGGCAGGGCGAAACCTTGGGCAAGTTTCTTTACTCCACATGCCTGATAATAATACCTCAAGAAAAAGTAATAATAATTTGGGCACTCAATCGACGACGGTTTGTGGGACACTGCTGTGCGCAATTGGCTGCCGCGTTTCGCCCACAAAATATACAGTCAATTCACTTTACAGTATATTCTGTGAAGCGTTTTGAGACATCTAGAAGATGTGAAAAGCGCTATATCAAATGCAAGGAATATTATTAACATTAGAAATGTAATGATACAGCATGGTGACAGGTCAGCAGCCTTGTGTTCCCACAGGCAGCCTTTTCCCACCTCAGCTGAAGAAGCCTGGTCAGAAGGGGAGATGTGGCAATGTTGGATATCAAGGTACAAATATTTGCAAATCATGTTCATTCTTTGCAAATTTTGTGCAAATCTGCTGTCTCCAATGCATACTTTGGACCAAAAAATACTATGACAGAACATGGAAAATTAAGTCTATAATTGTGTGTTTCTAAATTCAAACAGACAAAACACTGATCAGGCAAAGATGTCACAGAAATCAGCGACTTAATGATTCATTAGAATGAATGAGTCTGATGTTTAAGAGTTTTCTTGTCTCATTCTTCATTTATTCTCCCTGTGCCTGGAACAGTCACAGCCGACACCTGTTTGCCATGAATTTCAGCTGTGGCTTCAGGCAGCAAACTGCTTCCAATTCGATGTGGAGCCTGTAGTGTAGTGGTTAGAGCACTCAGCTCGCAAGCGAGAGGACTAGGTTTGATTCCCGGGAAGGGCGAAATATTAGGCAAGTTTCCTTACTCCACACAACTTTGTTTACCGAGCAGTAAGTAGGAACCTGGGTGTTAGTTGATTGATAGATTGCTTTTCTGGAGGTAATAAGCTCTTCAAAAAAAATTAATAATTTTGTCCCTCAATCCATGACTGTTGTGGGACATTACTGTGCCAATTGGCTGCCGCGTTTCTCCCATAAAGTATACAGTCAGTTCACTTTACAGTATATTCTGTGAAGCACTTGAGACGTCTCGAAGACGTGATAAGGCGCTATATCAAATGCAAGGATTATTATTAAAACAGGAATTCAAACCCACCCATATTTGGAGTCCATTTCCTGGTCATTTTATATCTTAAGGTAGGAGACGGCCCAATGCCTGATGGCAGTCAGGGCCGATTTAGCCATTAATAGAACATTTTGTAATACAATGTGAACTAAATGCTTGTGTCATCCTGCTAATAGTTTGCATCAATTAGATTTGCATCTCACTGAACAACTCATTCCTCTTTCCCAAGGTTTGACCCTCCTCCTCCCAAAAGGGAGCTTCTTCCCTGAAAGAATGCCATCGGCCACCCCTCCCTTCCCTTACCCCCCCAACCCCAGCTCGGGTCTGAAATGCTGTACTCTGTCCAGCGCCTTGGGACGTCCTCCCGATGTGAAAGGCGCTACGCTATACAAATGTAATCTTGTTCTTGTTGAAAATGTGTCCAATGCCATGAGGAGATTGAGTCACAATTAGGCTCTGGTTTGTTTTAAATAATAATAATAATCCTTGCATTTGATATTGTGCCTTATCTTCGAGACATCTCAAAACTCTTCACAGATGGACTGTAAAGTGAATTGACTGTATATTTTGTGGACAGCAGTGTCCCACAAACAGTTATAGGATGAGTGAACAATTTATTATACTTTTTTGAAGGAATTATTACCCCTGGAAAAGTGATCCTCCAATTGACTAACAACCGGGTTCCTACTTACTGCTAGGTAAACATAAGTGTGTGAGAGTAAGGAAACTTGCCTAACATTTCGCCCTGCCCGGGAAGTGAACCCAGGTCTCGCTTGCGAGGCGAGTGCTCTAACCACTGAGCGACAGGACTCCATTTTGGTTGATGTAGAAATACACATTGATAATTGCTGGCTTTCAGAATAAGTAACCCACGGATTAAGATAACTGGAAGGATAAATATTTTCATTTGCTGCCTTTCTTTTGTTCTCTCTTCCGGGGAGGCTTCTGAGCCTGGGGTTTTCAGACTTAATGCCTGTTGATGAAAGCAGCTTAAATGGGAACTGAATGCTGTGGAATTGTAGAACTGTAGCTTAGAGTTTTCATGTTTTATTTCTTTTAAGATAAAATTATCTCTGGAGTTGTTTCAAAGGTGCTATTGGCCTCTGGCATTACAGACTGATTGGGGATGGTGGGAAAAGCCACAAAATCCCTGCTTTGCAAGAAGATGTACTAATTTAGTATTTGTGCAGTTGGTGCTAAAAGGTGATGGGGACTGTTCCTGTTCCAGCAACACTGTGACTAGGCTTTATTCTATTATTTTCACTTTGAACTTGATGCTGTCAATGCTGAGCACCAACAATGGGGCAAGTATTCTGTCACCAACACACATGGCCCTTGTTGTGCTGAGCAAATTGCCTTGTGAAGTGGAGAAGGCTGTGGTGTTGATTGGGATGGGGGGGAGGCAACTGGTCACTTGAGTGAGGAGAAACTGTAGTATCTCCTCAACTTCTTCATTCCAGCCTCCCAGCGTCAGGACTCCATGCATTGCTTCAGCTGCCTTGAGGAGACGTTCCTTATTCCCACTACAGGTACTATTTAGTACCTTAAATATAAAGGTAATTTTTTTATGAATGACATTCTTTGCGCTCTCATTAACACCACAAGGAATGTATGAATGCAACATACATTCAAGTTTTGAAAAAATAGGCTTAGATTAATGTCTTTGCCATGGTTTGGCTGGTGTTTGTAAGTAGCTTTCCTAGACCAATAGGGTTTCCTCTAATACTTGTCTTGACTCTAATGCGCATTAAAATGGTGGACATAGCATTGATCCAAATCTCTCTGAATGTTCTCACCTCTCCCACATACCTCAGGCTAGGTTGTGCGGGATACTGTGTGGGGTGGGTGCTTGTCTATCCATGGTTTATATCCTTGGCTTTACCCAGGTGGCAAAATTTAACCTCTTCCTATTAATCTGTTATCTGTACATTGAATGAGTTGCAAACTGTCAGCAAACCTGGAGATAAACAAAGTGCTCAATGAGGGGATACTTGAGGACATGTCTGTTTATCCAGACAGGGTCACTGAAGTTAGTCCCTGTGACCTGTAGCAGCAGCAAGTGCAATAAGGTATCTCATATCTCAATTCTGCTGTTCCCTGC